TCAGGATATCAGCAACATTTTACTAGTTAGCCACTTTTTGATATCTTTACAGAAAATGAGATATATAGGCTCAAAGTGGACGATCCAGGTGTCGTTCTATTAGAGGTTTTACGGTAACGTAATTTCTCCAATAGAAGCCCACGGTAGTCCATGACTACATACCACACACCACAATAGGAGTCCCACGTCCCTTTGAGTTATTCAAGTTAATGTCCGAGACGGACACACAGACACACAGAAAAGTAAGAAGTAGATTTTCAGTTCAACAATGTCCGAACGGAAAAGTACCAGAATTATCTCGAAATTGATTGATGAGCGGGTTGGCGCTGCGGATCAAGCAAGTCATTTGGCACGAACTACACACCGGAGCTGTTCTGGAACATAATTTAATATTTTTTGATTTTTTATAAAAATTATTTTCTTGAATATTTTATTTTATGAATTCAAAGAAAAAATCTTGACAAAAATATCAAACACGGAAATTTTTGTGAAAACCCCTACAAACTTTTTTTAGACCCAAAATTTTTTTTTTCGATAAATTTCAAAAATTCCCAAAACAACTGTCTTGTTTATACATATTTTGAAAGAAATTTTGCGCTAATTCTGAATATTTTGATGAAAATCCCAAAAATCGAAATTTGTGAAGATACGGTACTTTGAGCATTGCGGCCATGCTTAGGAATCTTAACAAGTTAGGAGATAGGAGAAGTTAGGAGATCGGCACTAAAGAAACATTGGATTTTCTTTAAAAAATCCAGTTTTCGAACAGTTTGGAAAAAAAATGGTACAAAATGAACATAATTTTCGAAATCAGCGTATTTGATAACCTCAAAAAACTTCTTTTTCAAAAAAAATTTGTACCCAAAAATGTTTTTTTTTCGAAATTTTCGAAATTTTCCAAAACATGGCTTGTGTATACTCATTTTGCAGCAAATTTTGCGCTAAATTTGAAGTTTTATGCCATAAATGTCAAAAATCGAAACTCACACTGATACCATGCTGTAAACCTAACATCCTGACCAACACCAGGGTAGTCTTCTAATCACTTTGACCCACTTTATCTGGGTTACTGTAAAAGATATCGAAAAGTTGTTAACTGATAAAATATAGCTGATAACATGATGAACATTTTATTAGTTGTCAACTTTTTGATATCTTTTCAAGGAGCCAAGATAATTGAGCTCAAACTGTAGTACTCTCAATAAAATTGGAATTTTTTCCAAAACTTGATTCCAAAAATAGATAAGACATCAAAAAGTAACGCCTACATGTTAAAAACCAAAAATTTGACCGTCAGATCCCTAGACATCATAAAAAGTCCCCCAATTTCCTGTCTCATTTCTCTAATCCCCCTAATAATCCCCTAGAAGGGCAATCAAAAGTCCTTTCTCCTTCCGAGGGGGGAGATCAAAGTGTATACATACAGTACCCCCTTTTCCGCTACACGGGGGACGTCTTCTGGATTCAGAAGACGTTCGATGGACGGGGAGGATAATTAAAAGATAATCCGTTTGAGACCCAGTTTCGAGGAGCAATTTAGAGAGTTTCACTCTTCCTTAGATTTTCGATTTTTGAATGAAACTTTACTTTCTCTAGTTTCGATTTTGGTAGAATTGAAAGTTTTTCACTTTTACTTGCTTATTATACTTTTTAGGTTACTGGGAACTCAAATTTTTAGTATCTTCAAGGAATTTCTGAATTTAGGAAATTTCGAAAATTCCTGAAACTCCTAAATTTTCGAAATTCAACTGTTTTTGTTTTTTGATGTGTTGAAAAATATGGTTTTCAGCAAAAAATGAACTAGAAATTTGAATTTCCAGAAATTTAGGACAACCTGAAATTTGTCCAAATTTCAAAAATCGGAATTTCAGAATTTTAGAATTTTTAGGATTTTAGAATTTCAGAATTTTAGAATTTTTAGGATTTTAGAATTTTAGAATTTTTAGGATTTTAGAATTTTAGAATTTTTAGAATTTTACAATTTTAGAGTTTTAGAATTTTAGAATTTTAGAATTTTAGAATTTTAGAATTTCTGAATTTCTGAATTTCCAAATTTCTGAATTTCTGAATTCCTGAATTTCTGAATTTCTGAATTTCCGAATTTCTGAATTTCTGAATTTCTGAATTTCTGAATTTCTGAATTTCTGAATTCCTGAATTTCTGAATTTCCGAATTTCTGAATTTCTGAATTTCTGAATTTCTGAATTTCTGAATTTCTGAATTCCTGAATTTCTGAATTTCCGAATTTCTGAATTTCTGAATTTCTGAATTTCTGAATTTCTGAATTTCCGAGTTTCTGAATTTCTGAATTTCTGAGTTTCTGAATTTCTGAATTTCTGAATTTCTGAATTTCTGAATTTCTGAATTTCTGAATTTCCGAATTTCTGAATTTCTGAATTTCTGAATTTCCGAGTTTCTGAATTTCTGAATTTCTGAATTTCTGAATTTCCGAGTTTCTGAATTTCTGAATTTCTGAATTTCCGAATTTCTGAATTTCTGAATTTCCGAATTTCTGAATTTCCGAATTTCTGAATTTCCGAGTTTCTGAAATTCTGAATTTCTGAATTTCTGAATTTCCGAATTTCTGAATTTCTGAATTTCCGAATTTCTGAATTTCCGTATTTCTGAATTTCTGAATTTCTGAATTTCTGAATTTCTGAATTTCTGAATTTCTGAATTTCTGAATTCCTGAACTTCTGAATTTCTGAATTTCTGAATTTCCGAATTTCTGAATTTCTGAATTTCCGAATTTCTGAATTTCCGAATTTCTGAATTTCTGAATTTCTGAATTTCTGAATTTCTGAATTTCTGAATTTCTGAATTCCTGAATTTCTGAATTTCCGAATTTCTGAAATTCTGAATTTCTGAATTTCTGAATTTCCGAGTTTCTGAATTTCTGAATTTCTGAATTTCTGAATTTCTGAATTTCTGAATTTCTGAATTCCTGAATTTCTGAATTTCCGAATTTCTGAATTTCTGAATTTCTGAATTTCTGAATTTCTGAATTTCCGAATTTCTGAATTTCTGAATTTCCGAATTTCTGAATTTCCGAATTTCTGAATTTCTGAATTCCTGAATTTCTAAATTTCCGAATTTCTGAATTTCTGAATTTCTGAATTTCTGAATTTCTGAATTTCTGAATTTCTGAATTTCTGAATTTCTGAATTTCTGAATTCCTGAATTTCTGAATTTCCGAATTTCTGAATTTCTGAATTTCCGAATTTCTGAATTTCTGAATTTCTGAATTTCCGAATTTCTGAATTTCTGAATTTCCGAATTTCTGAATTTCTGAATTTCCGAATTTCTGAATTTCTGAATTTCCGAATTTCTGA